TTGAGCCTGCATCAGGTTTCCTTTTAGCACTGACATTTTTGTTTTGTTTTCATGAAAGAGTTTGCACACTGCTTGGAATTCTTGGAGGTATTATTTCTTTGATATTAAAAGAGTATTAGAAATGGCGTCTGTGCTGTCCTGTTGAACAAAGAGACTTTCATTTCATCAACAGTTGGTGATTTTGGTGGGATTTTATAGTGTAAAAGTTAGACCTGTATTCACAGCTAACTTGGCTTCAATAGACACCTGTATCTTTTCACATTAGATTTTTGGTTGGATTTTCTTTTGAAAACATTTTCAGAACCTTAGTAAGATTTTCTAATAGTTATTGGGGTAAATCAATTTCGGCCATAGTGACAAAAAATATAAGGAGCAGGATGGAAAACATGTTTGAGGAATGCCATTCATTCTAAAATCGAAAGATGAGGTTTAATGTCGATAAATGCAAAGTAATGCACTTTGGAATGAAAAATAAACAAATGGGTTATACAATTATGGGTATGCCGCTGGGGAAGTCAGAAATGGAGAAGGATTTGGGGGTCATTGTAGACCACAAACTGAAAGGTAGCTTGCAGTGCCAGGCTGCTGTAAACAAAGCTAGCAGGGTTTTGTCCTGTATTAAAAAGGGGATGTATTGCAGGGACGAGTCTATAATTTTGCCACTTTATAGATCATTGGTTCGACCTCATCTGGAGTACGCGGTCCAGTTCTGGTCACCAGTACTAAGAAAAGATGTCCTTGAGTTGGAAAAAGTCCAGCGGAGGGCAACCAAACTAATTAGGGGCATGGAGGACCAGAGCTACGAGACAAGGCTACTAAATTTAAACATGTTCACATTGGAGGTGAGGAGATTAAGGGGGGATATGATCTCCATGTACAAAATGTTCAATGGTGGTAGCAACATTAGCGATAAACTGTTTAAAATTAACTCCGTGACAAAAACTAGAGGCCACCACCTAAAATTGGTGGAAAAAAAATTCCAGCACAAGGGGTGAAGGGGGTTCTTCACAGTAAGATCAGTTAGGGTCTGGAACTCACTGCCACAGGCGGTGATTTCAGCAAATAATGTGGAATTGTTCAAGAAACTTTTGGACGATTTCTTAAGGGACCGTAATATACAGGGGTACAGGTACTCCTAGAATTAGATCCTAATAGGTTGGACTTGATGGACTAATGTCTTTATTCAACCTCAAATACTATGTAACTATGAAAGTTAAAATCAAATGTCTGATGACATTATCGGATGTTCTGACAATATGTTTTTATATAATCGTTCATAAGAAAATCTACCCATATATGGCCAACTTAAGTGTTTTTATAGAGTATTGTTTAGAAAGTTATTTTGAAGAATTTGGTGTGTAGAGTCGTGTGTAAAATTCTGCTTCAGAGAAACAATTAGGTAAGAAATATTTTTCAAAATTCTTATTAGATATGCTTTGTGAATGGGAACACATATCAAACATATAGTCTGTGTGTGTGTGTTCTCTAATTTGGCTGCAAAGGTGGAAATGCACTTTAAGAGGCTTGGTGGTTTTGTAGTGAATTCATGAGCCTTTAGATTGGCCATTAAGGTCTCGTTCACACCTAGGCGTATTGCATATGCGCATCTGTCGCGCGTTTTTTTTACCGCGATTCGCGTTAAAAAAGTTGAGCGCTTCCCAAGGCTACTTGGCTGTATCCCAACGGAAACGCGCAACAAAACGGCCCAAAGTAGTACCTGTACCTTTTCAGGCGTGGGCCGTTTTGTAGCGCGTTAGGGACGGGTGGAAATACGCCAAGGTGGGAACGAGACCATTGAATACAATGGGATTTATATTTTTGAGCGTTTTGTAGAGCGTTCGTCGAGCGTAGAACGCGCTACAAAACGTTCAGGTGTGAACGAGGGCTAACTGGCCAAGGGTTACGAATTGCTTGTTTTGCATTACCTTTGAAGCCATTGGGATGCCTGTTGTCAGATGCTTGTTGGCTGTCTCCTTTCATAAGTATACATGTATTTGTGTATGTAAATAATGTGTTTCTGGAGTCCTAAAGCAAACTTTGGCAAAGCTGGACAGTTCCATGGAGCTAGGTGTGAGCCTTTTTATTGTCAGTCGTAGCGGCGACCATGTGTTTCCTTAATGGAATCCTATACTTTGAGAAATCTTGAGGCAGTCATAGCTGAAGAATGTCTGAAAATGCTGGTTGTTTGGCTGCCGTGATGATCCAGTGGCTTCAGTACTTTGAGGCATAGACCTAGAAGTTGGATGCAGAAGAAGAGTTTTGACCTTTTTCTGCATGTTTGTTTCAGATCAGTGATGCAGAACAGGGATGCACCAGTGATACTAAGCACCAATACCGGCACTTTAAATTTTTAAACTGAAGCAGGCGCTGTATACAGGCACCATGATTCACAGAAAGGCTGCTGAGGTCCCAGCATGCGGTAAAGTAAGTTGTAAAGGGGCTGCTCCAAATTGCTCCCCTGATGGACTACAGCCTCACATTTAGTTTACTAATTTGTATTGAGATTGTAGTCTATCACAGGAGCGAGCTTGGAGCTGTGTCTACTTTACAACACACACAGGGACCGTGGGGAATAAAAGTAGCCACCATCCAGAAGGAAGGGCAGTGTCACCAACAATTCAGAGATGATTTGAGGGTCTACAGCCCAGTGATACACAAATAAGTAACACTTTTGTTAAAGCGGACCTTTACACTCAAAAATCTAATTCTACCAATGCATCCCTCTATGTATGATGATTAATAATAACATAGACATGTCAGGTGTAAAATGCTGTGATTTTGGAAATACTAAGGCTGGGTTCACACCTAGGCGTATTGAATGTGCGTGTTTGTCGCGCGTTTCGCGTCGTGCGTTTTTTACCGCGATTCGAGACCAAAACGCCCCAAAGAAGTACATGTACTTCTTTGGGCGTAGGCCGTTTTGTATCACGTTCGGACGGGCGGAAATACGGCAAGGTGTGAACCAGACCCATTGAATACAATGGGATTTAGATGTTTGAGCGTTTTGTAGAGCGTTCGTCGAGCGTTGAACGCGCTACAAAGCGTTCAGGTGTGAACCAGGCCTTACACTTGCAGAACATTCACTTCCTGCTTTGAAAGTGCAAATTGCTTAGGTTTGTCAAAGCAATGCACACTGGGATTGCCTTGTCATCAGCAGAACATTGCTGGGAAATCTCATCTGTAATCTCATGAGATCTCAGGGGAAGGCATTTTCCTCCCTTGAGATGATGTGCATGGTCAACATTTTTAGTCCTTTTTTCTTTATATAGTAAAAATAAAAACCCCAGTGGTGATTTAATACCACCAAAAGAAAGCTTTGTGTCCCCAAAAAAGGGTATGAAATTAATTTAATTACAGCGTTGCATGACGGAATATACGTCAGTCAAAGTACCGCAGCGCTAAATACTGAAAAATGGCCTGGACAGGACGGGTGTTTAACACCCCGGTAATCCAGTGGTTAAGGTATCCTTACAAATGTTTGAGGCTTTCTGTCTGACTCTAGTGTTCGCAGAATGTTGTCCTAAAAGATGACTTCAGGGAATGAAATATATATGTACAATTGTTAAACCACATTCCATCCTTGTGTCACAAAATGAAAATGTTTGAACAAATATTTCAAGAACGCAAGATATGATAATGATCTGTATAGGAAAAAGCCTTTATGTATTGGTATGTTTTATTGGTGAACCACCTCCAAGGATAAGGATGATTTTTGAAAAAGAAACATGTCTTAAATTAGAAGGAAAGGCCGAGATAATCCACATTTTAAACTTTATTCCTCCTATTGCCATCACACTTGCTGTATACAGTTTGTAAGAAATCACAATGGGAATACCTTATTGCAATCTGTTTCTAAGTGGTCACATATGTCCGTCTGTGCAGCTGGTGGAAGGAAACGCTCTCCCCCTCCAACAACGTCCAAAGCAGTGGATGTGGGAGGTGACGTAGCTGCTTTAGAAATTCAGCGCCATTGTTAGCCCTGCACAGAAGGACACATCCACAGAGTTTTGCAGTCAGGTGACCACTTGGAAAATAAAGTATCCATTGAGACTTCTTACAAACTGTATACAGCAGGTGTAAGGGAGAGAATGTTTAAAGGAGAACTATGAGGAGAGTGAAAATCACTCAGCCTCATAGTTCAATTAAACTGTCACACGTCGGCTCATTAGATCGGGAAGTGAGCGAACCCATACCGTCGCTCGCTCACTTCTCGATCCTGTGCCTGCAGAGAGCCGTGACTGTCACTCACGGCTCCCTACGGGGATTTCCCCCCTCCTCTGTCCGATCCTCCAGCGCTGACTGGCGGAATGGACGGGGGAGGGGGCAGGGACAGCTGGCTCTGCCTCTAGATAGGCAGAGCCAGCTGTCACTCACGCACTTGGCCGAATCCCGTCATCTACGTCGGGATCCGCTCCGGCTGCAGCGTCTCAGTATACCGCGAGCTGTAGCTCGCGGTATACTGAGCTTAGGGTAACGGGAGGACGCTAGTTTGTGTCCTCCCGTTACCCTTAGGAGAACTATGGGCAAAAGCACTGACCCCATAGTTCTACTTTGTAAAAGTTAAATATTTTAGCCTCACCTTCCACTTTAAATAATCTGAAGGTGTGTAACCTATCAAAGCAGGCCATTCCAATTTAGAATAAAGAGACCTTTCTGACATTGTATTAGGAATATGCGAAAGAAGCCACAAGTCCTGTGCATTTAATCTTGAGACCTCCAAACAGAATGTTGGCCCTGGTGATCTAACCCATATATTGCTTCTTATTGTGATGAACTACATGACGAGTGTCTCATTTATCCAGGTCATGTTATATCTAGTAGTAATTAATCACATTCAGACAGACTTGTTTTATTAAAGTTGAAGGCGCTTGTTGCTTATTTAAGCAGCCTCTTTGGTTATGATGGTTGTTAAAGGGATATATACATTTTAATATTTTAGACACTTAGTTAGGCCTGTTAGTAGTTCATTTTCTGACATCTATTACTCTGTTTTCTTTTAGGTATTGCCATCTTCCAGTGAGTTTGTACAAACATGCTGCCTCTTGTGTCACCGGGAAAGAAAAGATTGGTTGGGTTCACCGCCTCACAATGGGGTGCTCTCCGCCATGGATGAAATTCCTGCTTCTTTCATGCCTTCCTTGGCACAGAATCTTTTGGGGGAAATGCCACTGTGGATTTGCCAGAGCTGCCGGAAGAGCGTGGAGGAAGAGGAGAGACAGACGATGCCAGAGCAGCCTTTAGCGGTGAGCATTCTATCTGTTCTCAAATTAGTTGCTGAATCTGTGTTCCTCGGCTTTCTACTTTGCTCTAACTGACTTATATCGTTTTCCATTCTGATGTGCTTTTTGTTGTTCCTCTATATTGCGTTAGAATTATTTGGTATCCCTTGATTTTTTTTTTTTTTTCTTCAAGTTTTTGAAAACGTTTTAAATGATGTTTTATGTCATTTTGCCAAGATTGTATAATCTATAGTTGTCTAGCGATTGCTTGGCATCGTCTACAGTGATGTATGCCAAATTTGGTACACTGGATCAAGCTTTTAGGGCTCATGCAGACCATTACAGTGAGCTTCCGCACGCACATAATGTGTACTGTATTAATACAGACCATTCATTTTGAATGAGCTGCAACGGACCACTAACAACACTGTAACACCTCTTTTAATGGACATGCATTTTGTTCACATCAAAGCACAATGCATAGATGGTTCACATTCCTATGATGTAGAGCACTAAAATGCAGAATTGCTGTGTTGCACTGCCTTGATGTGTTGTGATAGCCAAAGTAGTCACCGGCACTCCAATGTCAGTGAGTAACATTGGAGTGCCAGTGACTACTTGGTCTATTACGGTTTGATTGGTGGTGCCATCCGCGGTCACTGCAGCACCCACCCACATATTACAGGTAATCCGCAGTCAGGAGTGTGATGGCATTCTAATGTTTGCCTTGATGTGTTGGGCGCCTTTCGCACCGTGCATTATCATAATGCTATAGTATAACTGGCCCCTACAGGTGAACAAGTGTGGTCTGAATTTCAGTGTGCATGGTAACGACAGGACTTCAGATTACTTAGGGCTCTGCCCTAAGTACGTACTCTCATGTAAAGAGTAAATATACATTTTAAATATCTTTTTTTTTTCTTTTAGTTTTTGGCGCATTTGTTTTTCTAATAGTTGTCGGGCCCTTAGATACTGACGATTGTTTTCAACTGTAGCGATGAAAACAATTGAAAGAGCAGGATAGAAAATATTTCTTGATCAAACGAAATTCAAACAGTAAATGTGGTTTTCGTTTGAGAAACTCCATTTATTCTAAAATCGAATGTTTGAATCAAATGAGCTTTTAAAAGACATTTGTCCAGATTCCACAAGGGTTTTTTTTTTTTTTTTTAATTCCTGGAGTTTAGCTTCAAGCATTTAAAATAATTGATTTTCTTGTACTTTTACCTGAATTTTTGTTTAAATGGTGACAAGTTCTCTTTCACTCTAACTATAGTAACTCACCTTGTACATAGCAATAGCTGTAAATCATCTTGTTCGTAGAAATGTTTTACTGGTTGTCAAGAGAACTGAGATTTGTTGAGAAATGTAGCCATTTTATGGCCCAAAGAATATGAGGAAAGCTACAGGGAAGGGTAACAGAAGCCATAATAGCAGTTACTGAAATCCATTACAGTTTCCGAAGTTGTGACGCAACAAAGGCATATTTCCAGTTCACCAACCCTTATGCTTGTTTAGCAGTGTGCCTTGGGGTATGTATAAAAAAAATGTTGGTGACCTTCATAGCAGCGCTTAGAGGAGCGTGTTTCATGCCTTGTACATTTATATTTTTCTGCACTTAGGAAAGCACATGGCAGATTTAGGTTGTTTTTTTTGCACTGAGAAGATAAAGACAAAAAGAGAATCTGATTCAGTTATATGCTTTTTCTGGCAGACACTGGGTACAATCTATAGCGTTAAATGCTATCAAAGGTGCCAAAGAGCTGTTCAGACAAAAAAGACTGATATTATGCATTATTTACATGGAATCTTGTCGTGAATAGCTGTAGGCTGGAACTACTATATCACAATAAATACAGTTAGATCCCACTGATCTAAGGGAATGCGCATATATTACACATACCAGGGGTGGAATTCCTATCGCCCAGCTGGGCAAGCAGCAGGTCTAAATGTAGAGCAGGGTAGCCATTTTGTACACTGCAACAGCTGCACAGGAGATTGAGCACAATGCTGTGCTCTGATCTCCTGTATTGGAGGGTAGGCTCCATAATGAGATCCTGTCACCTCCAAATGCTATCACATAGAGGCTTGATAGCCCCTGTGTGGTAGCAATTAAGTTAAGTGGTAAATAAATTAAAATATGAAAAAATTATATCAAGTAAAAATAAATAGAAAAGTCATAGAAATTGAAATAAAAAAATGAAAAGTTAAAAATAATAAAATAAAAAAGTTAAAAAAATTAAATTAAGTGATAAAGTAAAAATTTTTTATTTAGATGAAACTTAAGTAAAAGAATTAAAACCAACCCCGTCTTCCCCTGCCATCCTGCATGCGAATGCGTATTGTGCACGCTGAGTGCTGCCCCCATTGCACTGTGTTCCATATTGTGGTAGCCGGGCAGCATCGCTCTCTAACACGCACAATGTGCATTAAAGGGTAAGTTCCCTTTCCCAAGTAATTTGGAAAAATCTGCCTCTCAACCACCCCCAGCCCAAATTTCCACCGCCCAGTGACCGCGCTGACCAATGAGAGGTGCTTCTTAGGGTTAAATACGGTTTTGGTTGAAATTTATTTTTTGCATCAGGACGAGTAGACTGTCATGAGGGACAAGTAGATTTAGCTTTTGTACAAGTAGTTTTTTTTTTTTTTTACATTTCCACACCCCTGAATGTGCTAAAGGTAAGTTTAATAGCCAGGCAACTTCCACCTTCAGGATGAGGTCAGTGGTGGCAGCACCATTTTTCTCTCAAGAAAGTTTTGTTTAAAGCAAATAGTAATTGTAAAGGCTTATCGACCCACTGTTGGAACTAATGCCATAGCAGCCCACACGCCCGCTATGGAGCCCGGGGCTAGGAGAAGTGGGCTGTTAATCCGTGTCCACCTGACCTGGCCTGTGTGCTGGACCTCAACAAACTGATCTCTCTCCAAAAGCTGCCTTAAAGTACAACTGTAATTAGTTCCCCCTACCCCACAAGCTGCCAGCGATCTTCATTGTGTGGCCATGCTTGCAGCCATCACACCACCCTTCAAACTGAGCATAACACATGCAGGCTGGTGTATAACAGCCTTAAAAGATCCACAAAGATCACAGCAATGACTCTGAAGTCTGGCTTTAGGGCTTGTTCACACCTATTCCTGTGTGTTCCAGCACGATTACTGGAACACACAGGAATTACTGTTACCACTGGAACGCACTGGAACAAGCCCAGCTTAGAAACACCTGGCGTTTGTTTACATTAGAAGGCTGACAGGCTGCCAAGTTCCTATTCTCCATAGAAAAAAAAAATGGACAAGAGCTATAATGTAAGGACTTTTGTTGTGAACGTTGATAATTAATTTATCCACAATGCAAAGGTGAATGAGGGTTTGTTTTAAAGTGTGTGTGTGTGTATTGTTTGTTCAAAATATGTGCTTAATAATAAAAATTTCTTTTCTTATGAATAATGGTGCACAATCTTGTAATGCATGTGTTTTTTGTTTGTTTGTTTTTTCCCTCACCGTTACTTCTGTGCAGTCACCTCATAACATTAAAGATTAATTCCGGTCTGAAAGTATAATTTAACTGCAGTGTGCTTTGTTTATTGATGCATTTTGTTTCCATTATTGTCCATATACAGACTTTCCTCCATTATTTACCTGTGCTACATTGTAATCGCTGAGCCTCCCTGCTGAACGGATGCTGAGATAATGCATTTTCTATGTGGCTAAGATTTTCTTTCCAATCAGCCCTGGGATGTCCCTGTCTGCCAGTTATTTCTGCATGGTGATAAGAGGTTCAGAGACATTTGGAGACTGTGCATATACACAACCTATATATGGGCAAACACTTTAATACCCTTTTGTTGTGTTCAGTTGCATTTACTGAAAGCGCTTGTCATCTCTATAAGCCATTTTTGTTTTCCAGGGAAAGGATGACAAACTCTAGTTCAGCTTCTCTACTACTATCACATAACATGTAACATCTTACTTTATTCTCTTCTAACAGGTATCTCTGTCACACGCATCCTGCAAGTCCCAGTCCTGTGGTGGTGGTTCACACTCCTCCTCTTCCTCATCATCTTCCTCTACATCTTCATCTTCCTCATCCTCCTCTTCTTCATCCTCTTGCCATGGAAACTCTGGGGACTGGGACCCCAGCTCTTTCTTGTCTGCCCACAAGCTGTCCGGGCTTTGGAACTCGCAGCACTCCAATGGGAACATAGGAGGAGGAGGATCTGCAGGTGAGTTTTGAAACCCTCTATATAGGTCATTACATTGTATCAATTTATTCATAAGAATCTTACCTGTTTGTGTTCTGTAGATACTGAAATAGACCGTCCCAGTAGCTCCCTCAGGCAGCCAAATGGGAGGGTTTACCTGCTTCCAAAATAGAGAGAGAAACCATGCATCTACTCTTCCCTGAAACTGTAATACCTTGGCCAACAAAAGGCTGTATCCCAGGCAAATAAATATGTTCTACAGTCTCATGCATCCATGTGGGCTGGCAGGCTCCCAAGATACTGTTGTAATAAAACAAAATATTTATTTGTTTGTGCCTCCATTGTGAAATTTAAAGACAGATTTCTCCACAATGCCTATAGGTACAGAGGTGAATGAGGGCTTGTATTCAAGGGATTTTACTGTTTGTTTAGAATATGTAAATACTTTATTATGCAGTCTAGACACAGGATGACTTTAGGAAAACCATAACTGTCTGCAAAAAGTTTTTCTCCTTTGTGTGTTTTTAAAACATGCTTAAACTATATAAAATTGCTTGGGTAGTCATTGTATTTCTTTTGAAGTGAGGATTTGCTTGGTGCCAGATTACCTTAAAAGATAAATACCTGTGATTGGGTTCTCATGGAAGCAGCTTCTCCCTAATCCTTGTGTTTTATATTTAATCCTGAGGGCCAGGAAAGCCCATCCTAGTCACGCCCATGCCCATTCACACTAGTACAGTACATTAATCACATAGTACCATGCAATTAACGCACTCTACCACACAATTACTCCTACCGTGCATTCTGGTGTGGGAGGTGTGTTGTGTTGCCATTCATTTTGAATGGTACCCCAAACACACCTCCCACCAACAGTTTGTACACCCACACTGGAACACACGGTACCTTAATGCCGTGCATTCTATTGCAGTGCGACTTGGGTTGTGACTTAATGACCAAGGACAAAAGTGGGTCCTGAGGTTACACAGGTTGAGAACCACTGCTTTAAAGTGTATGTCTGAGCAAAAAAAAAAGAAGCAGGTAGTACATTTCTGCAGTACATGCACATCTCCCTGTGTTTTGCTTGTTGGCCCCCTATGTGATATCATTAAAGCTAGGTGTAAAAATATAACTGACAACAAATAAAAGAAAAAAAATTCAAAGCCTTCCACCCCCATGGAAATCACAATTGCGCAACACATGTTACATATCACCGCGAATGCCGGAGTGTGAGCAATAATTCTGGGGCCATCACTCACTGGTAACTCTAAATTGATGAGTGGCGAAGCCTTTTAAAGTGTCTCCTATAGCAGGGCTAAAAATTTCAAGTCCTGAGTTACTAGCCAGGGCTTACGTGTTACTCGCCGCCAGTTGCCCCAGCTAACCCCTACCCCGACCTTAACTCCGCCCCTAAACACACCCTCTTAAATTATCTTATGATTCTTATATTATGATAGTTGCTGCATGTAAACGGCAGATTAGGGATTTCTGCTGCAGGAAAACGCAAGTTCCAGACGCAGGAATCCCTAATCCCTAAATTATAGGTGTAAATTGGGGCCTAATATACACATACACTAAAACACATAATTACACTTAATACTCCCCGCTTATTAACCACACACACACACACATAAAATAATACACTCCCCTCTTATTACCCCCCCCACACACATACATAAAATAATACACTTCCCCCTTATTAATCCCCACACACACATAAAATACACTCCCCCTTATTAACATGACCTTCATGTCAGGGTTGGGTGTGGATGGATTCAATAGCTACGTTACCATTTGTAAAAAAAGGAGGTAGGGCCAGAAGGTGGGAATTTCATTGAGTTAGGGGAAGCAATAATAGGCCAAAAACAATAGGCTGGCATGTGTGTGCTCAAGTGGGTGAGGGGGGGTTTCATCTGGTATATCAGTGTACTAACAGATATTGAGACAAAGACTTGGTATAGAGGCATGTAGTCTTGCTTGCATGAAGAGGGACCTCAGGCTTTTTGAGGGTTGAAGGGACCTCATATTGGAGCAGTGCTGTAAAATCAAAGGTAAGGCCTAAAGCGTAGTGTTTCTTCTGTGTCCCTAGAGAACTAGAATAGAAATCAGTGTAATAGGGGCAGTGCTTTCTTTATGTTAACTTTGGCTGTAGGCATAATACAATGTTTTATTTTTACATATATTTGACATGATTTATAGACCAAAGGAATCGTATATGTGACAGCTTGTTTAGTTATAAATGTTGCTTAGACTTGATACCTGCATTTTGTTCTGTAGGGGAGAAGGGCAGCAGGCTTCCGCCATCTCCGGAGCGTGGTAGCAAGTCATCGAAGCTGTCTGGTTTAAAGGTGTGTCCATATAGCCCATCTGGAGCCAGCACAGGAACTCTCCCTACCTCACTTAACTTTTGTAAATCTCCAAAACAGTTCAAAAGCATGTGCCATAGGCCAGCATCCCCAGGTTAGTACAAACTTGAATATTTGTTATGATTAGATTTATGAGGCTAGTGTATCTCTTTTTACAGTTACATGGTAGACCAACTGTTTTTAACTGCTTTTATAACTGGATATCTAAGTAAACAACCTCTAAATAAGTGTGTGCCCCCATTCACACATTATCAGCTTTTGGCGCAGAAACACGCTAAACATAAAAAATGCTTGTCAATGCGAGTTGTTCACACTAGGGCGGCGTCTGCCCAAGTGTTCCAGCTATTGTAATAGCCACAAGTGCGCGGAATCTGTGCGTATGTTACCGTTTGCGTGTTTTCGCGCCGCACGGAGCCTAAGATTCTTTTGTATGATTTTATTTGTTTTCTTGAACCTGGCTATCTTTTGAACAGATCAAATTTGAGATTAGTATATAAAAACTTTTTAATATGGCTTTAAATGGTCAAATGTTATTAAAGCGTTAAAGGAGAACTATGAGGTGAGTGCTTTTCACTCACCTCATAGTTCTAGCCGACCTGTGACAATGAGACTGTCACAGGTCGGCTCAGTAGATCGGGAGGTGAGCGAACACATACAGGGTTCGCTCGCCTCTCGATCCTGTCACTGCTCTCTGCCGTGACAGGGGGAGGGACTGGATTCCCCTCTCCCCGCTCCGATCTGCCAGCGCTGACTGGCGGAACGGACGGGGGAGGGGGCGGGTACAGCTGGCTCTGCCTCTAGATAGGCAGACCCAGCTGTCACTCACGCAGCTGGGCGGATCCCGTCATCTAAGTCGGGATCCGCTCCGGCTGCGCCGTCTCAGTATACCGCGAACTGTAGCTCGCGGTATACTGAGCTTATGTTAACGGGAGGACGCTAGTTTGTGTCCTCCCGTTACCCTAAGGAGAACTATGGGGAAAAACACTGACCCCATAGTTCTCCTTTTAAACCTATGACAAGCTTGGCCAGTTCTGAGCATAAGGTGGAATAATGTCATAGGTTCTCTTAAAATCTAAATCAAATGTCAGTAGTTCCAGAGATAAAGGCAGCTGAATTTACAAGCAGATCTTGATTTTTCCTGTAAAGTTGAGCTTGTCTTAGACCCTCTCTACCTTCTGATCCTCAAGTTAGGACAGGGGAAACTTGGGAGGCATAATGAACAGTGCCAAACTTGATTTTTATGGGCAAAGTTGAGATTTGCATATAATTTTATCAGATTCTAAATCTTGATCTAATAATCCTGACATGTACAGTATTGGCAGTTTTTCCTGCATGTAAGAATATTTTTATGCTCAGGTTTACACAGGTTCATGACAGGTACGATTTAAAGTAGGGATGTCCAGATACCAGTGCTGATACTTGGCATTTTCATGAGAACTACCAGGGTTGCAGCGGTTGCAGCTGGGACCTGGCTCTGGCACTCCAGCACTGTCCTGAAATCATTAGTCTGTATTGTTTTAAAAAACTGTCACATGACAATAAAGAAAAATGTATCAGTACTTGTAAGTACTTGGGCAAGTACCAGCACTTGTACCTGCAAAACTGGTATCGGTGCATCCCTTTATTTATATTTATAAAAACTAAATCATACATTAAAACAGAGCTGTACAAATCCCAGGAGCTCCGTATGCTCCTTACAAATCACAGCTGCCTCCTAACTAGTCTTGGAGCTTCAAAAGTATCTGTACTTGTACCGAGTACGTTACTTGGTATCGGTGCATCCCTAATGTAAAGCAAGCCTTTCACTAACACTACTAAACTAATTGTCCAGGATTACTGCAGGTGCCAGCAGTTGGAACCTGCATTCCTTTTTATGCGACTGCCATTGTGCAGTTTCTATGTTCTCAGTGACCTATTAAGAGGAGTGGGCATTGACAGTTCTGTTCTGGGGTAGGTAAAGGGGACAGGCATTCATGTTTGCTTCACTGCCATCCATTGAGATGACTGTAGTAAGGCCTGCTAGTGACAGGTTAGCTTTAAACTGACTTTTAGGGCCGGTTCACACTAGCTCAGCTGCGTTCCAGCGGAGCAAGTGTGAAAGTGTGGCCCTAAAAGTCACACTGGAGCGCATCCTGGCCGGCTTCCTGCGTTCAGGAGCGGGAGGTGTCATGGAGGTGCTTTGAAGTCAATGGCACCGCAGTGGACCCGGAACGCAAGTGTTGTATTTCCATGCGTTCTGGTGCGGGCGATCGCAGTGCGGGCGATCGCACTGCGGGCGGGGGGGGGGGAAGGACGCCGGATTCG